ATTTTCAGAGCATTGAAAATTAATGGAATATTTGATTTTTCAATGACACAAATTCCTGAAATTTCAGTAGAAATTAAACATGATAAAAATTCCCGGGATTTGAGATAGAAAATTCTAACGAAAATGTTCACCAGTAAGTCTCGAAAAATTCAAGAAACGCACTTTTTTTTGGATCATCTAATTATTTATTAGATCATTCGAACAGAAAATCAATGGAATATTTTATTTTTCAATAGCAAGATTTCCTGAAATTTCAGTAGAAATTAAACATGATAAAAATTTCCGGGATTTGAGACAGAAAATTCTAACGAAAATTTCAAGAAAAATTCAAGAAACGCCTTTTTTATGAATCATCAAATTATTTATTAGATCATTCGAACAGAAAATCAGTTGAATATTTTATTTTTCAATAGCAAGATTTCCTGAAATTTCAGTAGAAATTAAACATGATAAAAATTTCGGGGATTTGAGACAGAAAATTCTAACGAAAATTTTCACCAGTAAGTCTCGAAAAATTCAAGGAATGCCTTTTTTATGAATCATCAAATTATTTATTTGGAAAATGTCGAGCCGGTTTTAATCACTCAGCCTCAGCCTCTCTCGCATTCCCGGAGACTTTTTAACGAACGCGAAACGTGCTTGAGATATAACAAGATGGCGGATTTTATCAACGACACCTCGCGGTCCAAAAACCCGTGAATACAAAAAATCTGTTTTTTATCCGATCAATTCACCCCCAAAACCGCTGAAATTCGTTTTATCTCGACGAGCTCTCGATGAAAAAAAAAATTATCACTGATGCATCCGGAAATGCGAAAAATTCAGGCAAATCATCGGGCAGATGCGTCATGCAAAGCCAGTCGACCTTCCCCTGTTCCTTGACTGTTGGTTCATAATAAAATATGCAAATACGAGTGAGTGAGTGAGAAATAAAAATTGATGGCGGATGGATTGAGGATTTAATTGTGATGGAGGGACGGGTGAAGGGTTGAGTGGAGATGAGATGTTGAGGGGGGAAATGAAGAAGCCACCGCGGCGGCGGCGGCGACGGCCAGTTGGATGCTGTAGATCCGGCGGTAGAGATTACGGGTCGGAGAGTCGTCGGCAGCAGACAGCTTGGCTCTAGCGCGCGCACCCGGCGCAGCCTTGCCGTCTCGTACCGTCCAACTCTCTGCCGCCATCTGCACTCAACCCGGCCCCCGACAAGACCATATAAAGCATGCGTAGTTATTACGATATTCTCTCGTATTTTATCCTTCAGTTATTGAAATTAATTCTCTTGTTCGAGGTATTTGATTCGGGATTGAGGTGAAATCGTTTTCATTTCAATTCATGTTTGTAGGGGAGGTTGGGGTAAAATGGACACTCGACTTCTTTTTAAATGTTAATGAGGGGTTAAAATGTTGATAACATTTTCAATACAAAGAACATTTCTTTCTCTTTGTGACGAGCCTAAACTAAGCGCAATTGATCAATTTGTTTCTGAGTTATGAATAATTTTAAAACAGTCTAAAGTGTCCGTTTTACCCCACCCTATTGACCTTATCCTGCACTGAGAGAAAAAATTGATTTTGATAAAGATGATTTCCTTGATACAAGAAAATATTCTCTTCTCAATTTGTAGAATTGTGAAATGTCTCTTGTCCCGAGAAAATTTTTAAGTTCTAGCATAAGTCTTCCTGTAAATTCATATGATTTGCGTTATATCTAGAATTTAATACATTGTGAGAATTCACACTTTCCCGATGTGATCAATCATCATCTCCAACTGAGGAATTCTTGTTTCGATTGCACGACGAAGGGTTTCATTATCAATTCAAGTGTATAGAAAATTGATCTCAAGTGTTCTGCTCTTTCTGCAAGATTTTATGTAATCAAAGTCCTGATGAAAAAAAAATCTACGTATAATGCAAACTACATGAATTCATGGAAAGGACATCATTATAGTCTTGAGAAGGCTTCAAAATTTTTTCGCGACAAGAGAATCTCATACTGTTGAAAAAGTTTTTTTTCTCAATCTGAGAACAAAATTATTTATCAGGAGATTTCACGATTTTTAAAATTGACAAGAGAATATTTGCTTGTATCAAGTGACCTTTTTTTCTCAAAAGTAGTTTTTTCGCTCACACTGTGAAGAGTTTTTTGAGAAGTACGTCTTTACTTGTTGAATTTCTTGATAGAAATTCATGGCTCGAAAATTACCAAGTACACAATATCTCACACTAAGAGAAAAAAATCTTACGCCAAGAAATTTTACACTTGTCCGAAAGATGGGGGCAATTGGTTCATATAAAGAAAACGAGTTCTCAAATCAATTCAAATGGTTGTTGCCTTAAAATATTTTATAGTTGACGCGAAAAAACTATTAAATGAATTAATTCAATTTAACGTGGTATGAGAAATCGCTTTCTTGTCATAAACAAATCATCTTCGTTTTTGAGACAAAAACAAAGACAAGATGCGTTAAGATAGGTGCAAAATCTCTTAATGAAATTTTTATTTTTCTCTGTCTAAGATTTTTTTTCTTGTCAATTTTCGAGCTATGAGTTTCTTGATACAAGTGTAGACGTGCTTCTCCAGAAACTTTTTTTCTCAGCCTACAGACGAGACATTCTTAAAACCTTTTCACATGCATTTATACCTTCAAGAAACTTTTATTATAGTTCAGCCTATTCATTCAAGAGGGAATTCAATCAGTTGAAAATCCGCCCATTTGCTCGTATTTATTACGATAATCCCTGGTTAAATTTCGAGGTGGTCCCCTGGGTCGCTCACAGGTCAATTCTTCTACCTGAATTTCTGTTTACCATTAATACTGAACTTTCATCACTTCTTGAATCCTAAAACCGGAAATTAATCAAACAAAGTTTCCTCCATTTTCCCGTTTCATCACATTTTTCTACGGATCTTTCACTTCTCAGTCTTGTCTAAGTGGTCACTTAAGCTATCAACTTCTGGATATAAAGTTATAGGAATAACACTTTTAGTTTTCCACAAACTAGGGGAGGTTGGGGTAAACCGGACACGTTTGGCTTTTTTTTAAATGTTAATGAGGGGTTGAAATGTTGATAAAATTTGATAATTTTTTCTTCAATACAAAGAACAATTCTTTCCCTTTGTGATGAGCCTAAACTGAGCTCAATTGATCAATTTGTTTCGGAGTTATGAATAATTTTAAAAAAGTCTAAAGTGTCCGTTTTACCCCACCTTCCCCTACATCCAGAATAAATTTCGGACTGTCGTATGATCAAATCTCTCATTTACATTATCTCATCCAATATTGGAATATAGATTTTCATGAACCCAAGTGTATGGAAAGGTCAGCGGCGGAAATACATGAATTATTCAGCGGAAATCCTATTACAAAAATATTGTATAATCTGGGGATATGGTTCTCAGTACTGGAATACAATTTCGTAACTCGGCAAGGTGACGTTGCATACGTACACGGAGTCATTGAAAAAAACAGAGTATTTTTAGGAATAGACCTCATTCGGGAAAAAGCGAGCAAGCAGGTCAACGTATTTCGTCCCTTGGAGAAGAATTCAGAGGAATTTTAACGCTGCAATTTTATCAATTGTCAGTGACATATTGTTCTGAACATTAGAGATAATTGCAGACAATTTTTCTGAAATTGACCAGAATTACTCCCTTATTTTACGGGATTATTTCGTCACTGAGATTCAGAGAATTTTTAATCCTGAATCCTGACCTTCACTACTAAATATAAGTGAGAAGGTAGGGTCAAGAGACCCCCAAAATGAGGGATGAGGGCAATGGTTTATTTGAATATTAGCTCGGAATGAAGCTTTTATTTATACTTGAGCTTGATTTTTATTAGTGTTTCATTTAGCTTAAATAAATAGCTTTTTGAACATTGACCAGTGTTTCCTTGATTCAAATAGAGACTTTATCAGTTGAAAATGAAATATCCTATTTTGATCTTTTTTAACAAACAATTTTTTTGGCACACGTAAGAATTGTTTGAGAACTCTGCGGTTTTTCTCTTAGTGCGGGGCAATGTTGCCCGCCAACGTTAAGGATGTTACACCCTTTTCACCAAAATTCACGTTTTTTTAATTTTTCTGGCAAATTGTTGATCGGATTGACGTGAAAAAATATACCGTTTTTGCGTTTTATCATTACTTAATGACTCACGAAATTTCATAATCGCCGAGATAAAGTTTCAAAAAAATTCAAACTAGTGATGCCAGTGATCTTGTCTTTGTTTTTTTTTTTGGGAAATTTCATAATTTGGCCGGGATAAAATTTTATGAATTTCTGTAAAGTTTTAGAAAAAACGCAGGAAAATGATTGCACTACCATGAAACTTTGTGAGTCAGTCAATAATGATAAAATGCAAAAACGATACATTATTTCGCGTCAATCCGAACAATAATTTGTCAGAAAAATGATGAATGAAATAAATCATTGAATTCAATTTAAAATACATCGTCATAGAAATTCCATTCAGAAGCAAATTGCGAATCTATTAGCGAAAATATATTGACTATGTTGTAACGAAAGCAATTTCCCACTTGTTTTTCTCTATAAAAGATGTTTGTAACACTCGAGTATTACACAAGACTACATCTCGAGTGAATACGAAATTCTTCATCACAACACATCGAAAATGAATTCCTTGTCTGAATTTCCCACATCTTTTGTAGACATTTTTCGGACACTGAAAAACGTGTGAATAAAATTAAAATTTGTCTGAATATCAAACATGAATTAAGAAGTGTAGGCACCGGTTCGTCTGAAAGTCAGACAAATTTCCATTTTATTGTGACGTTTTTTAATGTCTGAAAAATGTCTACAAAAGGTGTGTGAAATTCAGACATTTGTTTTTGCTGTGAAAATGCATAAATCGTTTCTTCACTCACGTCATGTTGAAAGAGATCGCTCCGCATTTCAATCCATTGTAACTCATAATTTTTCAAAATTAAATTAATTTCTCATTTTTATTAACGATTTTTATTTTTAAATTTTTGTTACAGCAGGTGGCATAGTGCCCAGTGACTGGACGTCACGATGCGCACATTGCTGCTCCTGAGATTGGCGTTGACGGTGGGAGTCTCCGCGCTGCTTGTCAATGCAACAAGCACAACAGGCAGCAATGTTATCAATAAACTAGACAGCACAGAGCGTGAACAAGCGACAGCGAATCTAGAAGCGAGTCTGTTGTCACTCCTTGGCTTCACCAAGAGGCCGAAGCCCTCCTCCAAAGTTCACGTACCTGAATCACTGTGGCAGCTCTACAATAAACAAAATACAATAAAAATGGCCAACATAGCGAGGCCCGGAATTCACGCCAGATCGGCGAACACAGTGCGGTCATTCTCTCACGTTGGTAAGTTGACAAATCTTCTCACCGTTGCAATTCTATGGTATCTTCAATGATCCGTTTGATTCGATACTGAGACTTGCATAGGGGAGGCTCTGGCAAAACGGACCAGGCGGGCATAACGGACCGCTGACAGAAAATTGATAATTTTTTTTTTGCTTCCGAATGGAGCAAATTCGAAGTCATTTGTGGTTTGAAGTGATTAGCAAATCTCATCACATTGTGGTTTAGCGACACTTGTTGTCTATAAAACCCCTGTGACGGTTACGATCCAAGAAACTCACTTTTAATTCAACACATTCAGTGTTCCTGATTCGAAGGAAAAAAAAAAAATTACCAATTTTTTTGTGAGCGGTCCATTTTACCCTACCCTCTCCCACTTTTATCACACAAGATCTATGCGCGCGCTGATTTATTCATTTGTTGAAATGAAGAAATGGAATTCATTCATTTTCTCATGAATACCTTATAAATATTGATAATGAATCAAAGAGAATTCGACTAATGATTGAAGTGAATAGCGAAGTAGAGTAAAAGAATCTATAAAGAATTTTTCATTTTCAATTAATTATCTTCAATTTTTTTAAATAATCGGTCTCCATAAAAGGACAAAATTTATTAATTTCACCGATAATATATATACATGTGAAATATGTATATTATATATATATTATATATATGACCTGAAAAAAAAATTTACCTCTGAAGAATTTGAAATTATGTCACTGAAGAATTTGAAAATACCGCTTGGTGTTTTTTTTGTGAATAACTTCGTGTCACATATTGACCAATCAGAATTAAGGATTAGCGGTCAGGCAGTTTCGAGATATTTCAATATAAAACAACTTCACGTTTCTTTCATCTTTAGTAAAATAGGACTTATGCGCCTCCAATTTATGTACATTGTCATTTAATATGAATTGGTGCGAATGTGCTATAATTTTCATATACCGGTGCGTATAACTAATTAACGTCAGTCAAAAATTACTATTCTGTGTGCAAATAATCATGAACACCCTAGTTTTTGCCGACAAAATTGTGATGTACTAAAGGGTACTAAACATATTGAACGCGTCGCTGACGCTATACTTTGCTGATGAACACTGATCCTAGTGATGCCGTCGAGACTAGACGAGAATTATTTTGGAAAAATCATCACGGTCTAAAAAAACATCGAAAGTTTAGGATACGTCGTAATCTTCAAAATAATTCTCGACTAGTCTCGACTGCATCACTAAGTGTTCCTGATTTGAAGGAAAGAAAAAAAAACAAAAATTACCAATTTTCTGTCAGTGATCCGTTTTACCCTAGGGGTCCGTTTTGACCACCCGGTCCATTTTGCCCTAACCTCCCCTATGATATTGTAAAAAGTCATTACTGAGGTAGCTATGTATATATACCTCAGCCACATATACCATTAAATTTCTACCTTTGTATGGAATACTATCCTTAGATGCCATTATCGGTTAAACTAGTTGGTCTACAATTAAGTTTAATGCGGTACTACTGTAGTCATGTAATTGGCCTTAGCTGTTTGACTATAAACTCAATAAATAAATGAACAAATCTCTCTATACTATAAAATCGACTATACTATTCAAATCGACTTCTGATTATGAAAATTTGGTACTTGAAATTAATAATAAAATTAATCCTTAAGTGGTCGCGCTTTTCTAGCATCTCACTCGCTCGACAGTGGCGCCGTATAGGTTGCGTATGGTTTAGCGGGGATTCCCTCACGATGCGACCACTTAAGGGTTAAGGGTTAGAAACTAAGGGTAACAGGAATAAAAAAAAAAGATCATGAGGTTTACAATGAGGGTTTGAATAAACATGACGAAGGTCAAATGAAGGGCCACAAGGGTCAGATTGAGGGTCACTAGGGTCTAAATAGGGGTCTTGGTGGTTGGCGAGCGGAGCAAGCAGGGGGCGTAGGCCCATAGTAAAAAAATAAATATATATCAGTAGCGAAGTGGTCAAACAGTTTAAGTCGACTCATCTCAGTTGAGTTTTTGAGGAATATTTCCGAATCTAAGGGAGATAGCGAAATTTTATTAATTACATTTGTTGTAGCCCTCCATCGGCTCTACAAAAAAAGTTATAACAAAAATTTTGCTATCTTCCTTAGATTCCGAGATATTCATTCTCTCTCCAGATAAATAATTTCTTCCCTCCATACTCTATCCGAACGATTCTCAAAGAAATTGATCTCAAATGTATCGAAATCGTCTCAAATTTTCTCGACGTCTGCAAACTAAAAATATAAACTTTCTGAATCATAACACAAAGATTAATGTAAGTACCTAGTGTTACACTCTACGTAATGACGTGTATATATATATATATACATATATATATATATATATATATATTATTCTTCCTTTTTTTTTTTATGCTGTATAAACATGTAAAGTTTTGAGCAAATAAATATAACAAAAAAAAAAAAAAATTCATTGAAAACTCGCCAATTGTCAAAATTGACTTGAACCATTTTACCACTTCGCTACTGATATCTACCCAAACATTATAGTTGCATAGAAATCATTCATTGGACGCATTCACATATGATGAAGAGAATAATGAGTGTTATTTTTTCTGTTTTCAAGTCGTATGAATAAACTCCAGTTGAGTGTAACGAGGAAAAATAAATTCAAAAATCTCCACTAATTTTCCATGATAGTGAAAAACTATTATTTATCTCATCAGGGATTACACTTGAATATTTTAGAGTAGTCATTCAATCAATAATCAAATCAAAAATATTTTCGTTATTCTGTTGACCGTCAAAATATTCATTGCTGTGACAATAGACAATGATTCTCAAAATGTCGTTCCCTATAATAATAATCAGAAATACTCGATCAGTAATTGTAGCTACAGTCTATTACTCAATTAATGAGTAATTATAGGGACATATTATTGAATACTCATCGAATTAATGATGAAATCTACCTTATTAATTGAATATTTTTAGGGAGAGCTAAAATAAAATAGCGAGTTAAAATGGACAATGAACAAAAAATTCGAAGTTAGGCAGTTAGGTCCGTCGAGTGACATCACGACTTTAGACTGCAGTCGATTTCACCTGACGACATCGGTGATTTCAATGACTGCATTGAATTCACGATTTCATTGATTTCAAGCATGATTTCCAGTGATTTCATGACTCATCATGATTTCATTGACTCTATTCGACTGAACTCAATGATTTCAACGTAACTGAAATCACTGAAAACTCAATGACCGGAAATTGAAAGAATAATCGAGATCAAATAATTATTTATCAAAACGATTGATTTTATTATCATAAAACATTTAACGAACGCTTACAAATTATTATTATTTCTAATAAACCAATGAACAATACTAGAAGTACTTTTTTACTTCTCTCAAAATTTTTTGGTCAACTTTTAAGTGCCCTTCATCATCAAACGTTGGAGGTGAAATTGTTTTTCGATATTGTTTAATATCAACATAGCCCTGAGACGTCATTGGCTGCGACAGTAACGTATCTGAATTTGTCTTTAAAATGTACACCTATATCTCTTTTGTTACCATCAATACACGCGTATGAACCAGAAAATTCTCGAACCAAAAATTTTAGAACGAGTGTAGAGCGCGGTGTATTTTCGGTGGAGGGATGCCCTCGTGATTTCATGGATTTCATTGACTGCAAATGATTTCATTGTGACTTCAAGAAATGACTCCATGAATGGGAATCACGAGATTTCTATGATTTCACTGATGTCAGCGATTTCAGTGATTTCATGGGTGATTCCAAATTGATTTCATCAGCAAGTGACACCATGATTTTAGGAGTTACCAGCCCCTCGAAACAATCAGTTTTGCGATATTAAGTCATTTCCTTCTCAGTGTAAAGGTCCGATTGAATTGCATTCTCCCCCAACATCAAGACAATCTCAAGACATCCGTAAACCCCTAATGCGAAAATAATGACGAAAAAATGTTGAAGGAATGAATTATGGTCAACTTTGGACAAAAACCAACAGCAACAGGGAAAGCAACAGTAAAACTATTAGATGAGGGGCATATTCGTTACGCCGGGAGGCCATTGGGAAACCCTCGGCCGTCACGGGGGATTATACTCGGCTACCCCTCCTCCTTCTCTAGGTACCACGCGCCACGTTTATTCTCGGTAACAATGAAATTGCTATTTTAACGCTCATTCAAACACAAAACTCAACAATGGGGTCATCCACTTGTCACGTATTTCAATGTTTTTATTCTCTCTAGTGCAAACTCCAAATAAACTGTTTAACACAGTAAGCAAATAGCCTGTGCGAACACTTGACTGATGACTATTGCAAGATTTTAATGTTTTTGTTTCCGAAGGGAAGCCTTGTTTTTGACCGATTTGTCGATTTTTTAATTTTGATTGCAAATGGTGTAGAATTGTTTGAAACGTGGAGAAATGATGTTTTTAGGTTCACGTCTGCATGTATGTGTCCGGCAACTTGGGTTTTTGTTGATTAATTACTAGAAAATTCAACATAAATACGGTCAAATTTGTAGTTGAAAATCTGAAATTTTGGCTCATTGTAGCTATTATTGAGCCCGACTTTGGCGCACTGTTTCAGCCCGATTGGTCCAGTAGTTTGTGAGATATAACAACTTGTTTAAATCTCGTTTTTCCTCAATATCTCAAGAATTACTGCGCCGATTTCAATTTTTTTTTTTTCAAAATACTCATCCCGATGGCCTCGATGTAAGTCAATCAGAATATATAGGCTCTTTAATACACAGTTTGGAGATATTGCCATTTTTTATGAAAAATTTTACACGCACCATAACTTGAGAAAAAAAGGAGATAGCAAGTTGAAATTTTGTATGATTCTAGCTCTTATCATACTAAAGGTTGGTATTTTACATGGGCGTAATCGGCCGAGTGTTTCCTGAGATATGCAATCTTTGGTGTAAATAGATTTCTTCAAATATCTCATGAACTACTTGACGGATTTCAATTTTTTTTTTCAAAATACTTCTTC